TATAAGAGGAATTCATAATTGCTATAAAACAATTGTAATTATCCACTATAATTTCTTTTGTGTATTCAGATCTTTCTAAATCATCTATCTTTAAAATTCGCTTCCAATGCTCGTCTCAGCTCAATTATTTGAATCCTTCACTGCCAATAATATTCTATTTGCATCAGTTATTATTAATCAACTTCTAAAATTCATTGTCGCCAAGATGATATTGCATTAATTTGATATCATTTAAAAACACTTTCAAATGCGTCGACATCATCTATATAATATTGATTTCTTCTAATTTATCATATATTGATTACAATTTATAATCTACGGTAAACCTCTAAAATTAATCAAAATTAATTACTTCGATAAACCCTTTTTTCTTCCTCTTTAAATCGAGACTCACACACAGGATTTCCTCCTATTTGAATTTCTTCTTATTAGACAATCACATATTTTTGCTTCAATTAGAGGAATCAAATTTTACAAATTTCGTTCTTTAAATTTGAACAAAAAATAAGAAATTGAATCACTTACACTTCCTTTGTCGTTAGAGAAGAAGAAACTTCCAAACCTAAAATTCTTCTCTTTCTCTCGCAATTTTTTTCATTTTCCTCAATAAAAATATTGGTCTCTTCTTAAGACTAAAATCACATAAAAATTTGCACATAAATAAAAATTTGACGAACTTACCTTCATTCTCCTTTTTCTTTCTCTCAATCACTACTTTCATTCACACATTTGATTCCACTGGAGTGAGCGAATCTGAGTTATTTCACACGAGTCGTTGTTTCTCACTTCCGCACGTATTTCCTCACTTATCTGCATGATCTGATCCCACCAGACACACTGGCGCTCGTGATCGGCTTGCTAGTGCTCGCCTGTTCAATTCTACTTTGCCCGCTTTAGTTATGGGCTTGTTCAATTGAACCGACCAAGTATGGTTCTTACAGTGCATATCAAAGACAAACATTAACGCAAGCAATCAAACTTCAAATATTTTTAAATCATGCACACGTCAAAACATAACTTTTAAATTAAAATGTGACATCATGAAAGTGTGCAAGTGCATCATGCACTTGAACTAAGAAACATGCTAGTGCAGCATGCATCTGCATTAAAGAGTGTGATATTTCACAGAGCAAATGCACTGAAAAGCGAGCAAATGAACTGATCCTCAATGTCCCCAAGATTGGAGTTGACAAGACTTCAAAATCAAAGTTGGCAAAATGTTGTTTGATGTTCTCAGGTGGGCAGCCCTACATATAAGACAGAGTTGTAAGACCAACTTTGTAAGTCAGATCCTCGATGTACCTAAAACCGGAGTTGATAAGGCTTTCATCTCTCAGTAAATTACTACAATACTAATTGTAATAGAATTTTATAATGAAGAAGTTTGTAATCAAATATTCAATCCTGATGCTAACGATGATATTACGTCTTACAAAAGAAACTACAAATATTCATCACAGACACGATCCTTTGCAAGCGAGCTAGCAAAGTTTACAATCTGTACACCAATAAAATAAAAGCATTCAAAATTCCGATGAAGTCTGTGTTGATAGAAAACCACAACCGGAGGGGAATCTGATTTTTCAAAAAGCCTCTACATTCTAAAGCAAATCATTTGGGACTTAAATTCTAATAAAACTTTAAAAACCAAAATTTGCAATATTCAAAATATTCAAGCCAAAACTATCACTACAAAACTTAAAGTAAAATAAATCCACCCTCCACAACCATTTGTCAAATATGATAAATTTAATAACCTCAGCTACAAAGAGCCATGGCCTTCTTGAATATATAGGTTCACGCTCAAATAATCTCTTGCCAGTAACGACATGGCACGTGTCATGCAAGCACTCATCATATAACAAGTAGTTTTAATTGAAAGTTCCACCTCATCACCAGCAGGGTTAATTAATCATGGAAACTTGCGCTCATGAAAAACCCAAAATTAGATCTTAAAGTCCCAACAAAATGAGGACAAAATCTCAAGGTAGTGTCTTATCTACAATCTAATCTCCCTTCTTTAAATTTGACCCAAAACACACAAGAGCCAAAGCACGAATTTCGAAGCCCATGATAAGGATCATATTGTATGATCAATAATTACTTTTTTTCGGAATTAGGGTTATTAAGCTACAAGTATTAAATAAAAGGCTTTTTATCAAACCCAAATATGAAAGTCGACCTTGAGAGAAATAAGAGAACAAAGATAAGGGAGATTGCCCGAAGAAAATTCTTTGCACCATCATTAGCAACCCCCAAAGAGAGTTTTTCATGAGAGTGCACCTAGTGGTTATCCACCTCTTCTCTATACTTTATGATCCTCATGATTTGAAGATATGGCTATTTTAAGAGCTATTCTTTTGTATTTGTGAGAGAAACTTGGATCTCAAAAGTTTTCTGAATCTTGTTGAGACTAGCAGATAAGCTAGAGTCACATTCTTCTCACTTGTAGTAGAAGAGGGTGTACGGTTCCTCTAATACCCATGAAGAAAAAAGGTTTCTCTAACGCGCATTTATTTTACTTTGCTTGATTTATTTGCTTGCTTATGCTACTTTGTAGTGTGATGAGAAATATGGTAATACGAATCTTGTAAGTGATACAGGTAACTTCATAATTTCAAGAAGCTCGTGTTGGAAAAATCAAAAGAAAGCTTACAAGGAGTATTCTTATTTAATTAGGAAAACTTGATTGAACGTCTTTGCTACTTTCTAAAGAAAAGAAAAGTAAACAAATATATATTAGCTTGTTCAAAATTATTTTTCAAAAATTATACACCAATTCAGCCCCCTTATGTTCCTCATGATTTGAAGATATGATTATTTTAAGAGCTAATATTTTGTATTTGTGAGAGATCATGGATCTCAAAAGCTATTGTGAATCATGGTTAGACTAGCCTATCTGGGCTAGAGTCTAATTCTTCTCGCTTAGAGTAGAAGAGAGCGGAGTTTTGCTAATACCCAAGGAGGTTTCTCCATTGTGCGGTCACAAAAGCAGTTGTGGAAATCTCGAGATGATGCCTCAAAAAAGTTGATGTAGACCAACATCGAACCACCATACATCGGTTTGAACTTCTTTTACTTTTCGCACCTTTACTTATGCTACGCTGTGGTGTGATGAGAAATATGATAATATGGATCTTGAATGTAATACATGTTAATTTGAAGAATAAATTTTTTTATTCCAGAAGCTCATGTGGGGAAAAAATTTTAAAGATCTTAGTATTATTGTTTAATTATAATATCCTACTTGAACAACTTTGCTTGTTTCAAAAGAAAAGAAAAGTAGTATATATATATATATAAACTTGTCAAAATTATTTTTCAAAAATCACACACTAAGACGACGAGTTGAGCGGGGGTTTTCATAACCCACATTCTATAAGATGGTTGAGGTATTTGAATCGCTTGTTATGTTCTCCATTAACAATAACATGAGAATTCACATGAATGATAGATTACAGAATCCAAGTAAATCCGAGATGGAAAAGATATCGTTTAAGGGTGCTCAATAAAAAGTTCTAATTGCAAATATCAAAGACATTTTCGAAACCCACTTTAAAAATAAGCTTTTTCTTATTTTGCTTTGAGTATAGAGAACCAATTCAAAAGAAGCGATAATTTAATCAATAGAACCTCATCCAGCAATAAAAGCACCTTAAGAAGCATTTAAAAATTTGGTCAAAAGCCCTTGGAGTCTTCTGTAAGGACTTTAGCGAAGATTTTAAAAATAAATTAGCAAATTTGTGGGTCTAAAAACCATAAGAAGCTCGTCATCTTTCTTAGGAATGCGTCAATTCAACGTAGAGCTTAAATCAATAAGAGAAGCTTTAGCTAAGTAGATGTTCATAAACATAACAGCCAAATATGGATGATGGATGATATCCCACATTTCTCAAAAAACTTGACTGGAGAAACCAGAAAGAGCGAAAGATAGAGCTGCAAAAAAAAACATTCCTAATTTTATGCAAATAATTAAGGAAATATAATCAAGCAAAGAGGCGAGAATCATCAATAGGATACTTCTTAAGAAAATCAACAATAGAGGTGGAAGTCAAAACACTATTTGCTACAAAGGTCATTATAATAAAAAAACAAAGCTTGGGCAATGACTCTTTGCTTAGTGATGGCTTGATTATCCGATATAATATGATGAATTAGGTTAATTTTCTTCTGTAGCTAATAATTTTATGGAAGAATAAAATGTTATTGCCCCCCTCCTTTTAAAAAAATCAATAAACTTTAGATCCTTAGTGTCACTAAGTCGCCTCTTTCAATTTTTTATGAAGCTAAATCTTTTCTGGTTCATAACCTTCAAAATCTCAAATCAATCTGAGACCAAATTCAGCTATAGTTCCATTTTTTTCCACTCTTGGCAACCTTAATATTTACATATATGGATATAGTGTGATGTTGCTTTTTCCGGATCTTATGCTTCATACTAAAGAACCATAACTTAAAAATCAACATCTAAAACTATCACCATGAATAGTAAACCTTTTCCAGTAAAGAAGAATCATATCTTTGAAACCAAAAATATTAAAACAATATTTTTTTAACCCAAACAACCAAGATTTAACATTACAAAAATGGTCAAATTGAAGATGACCAACATCGTCAAAAAGGTAGACATCAAATTAAACCAATAAACATGCATTCATGTATGAAAGTATACGTAAGCACGTAAACATTGAAACACGCAACACATTCATACAAACATCATCATACAAGCGTACACAGGCAGACATCCATTTACTTTTATGCATGTGAATGTACATGCACATCCAAATTCATGAATACATCTATACTAACATGCATGGACATATATGATATAAACATGCATAGAACCTTGCGTGCATGCATGCACAAATACTACTACACCATGAACAGTCTTTCCAACTTATTATGATGGATCATAAAGGCTACACAAGTATAATTGTTACAATCATGATAATGAAAGATATTTAAGCAGTAGAACCAACGTCATATCAAAAAAATTGTACCTTTGTCGATGAGTTTGAGTCCTACTTTTGATTGATAAATAGCTCTCATTGATAAAACAATCTTTTCATCTATTATTTCTTCCACTAGCCTTCTTGTTCTTCGATCAAACACCTGCATAATAAAAATTGGTCCCTATTTTCAAAAACTAAAACAACTAAATGTGGAATGGTTGAGATATATCTGAAACGAACTTCACATTATCAATACAAAATTATTAAAAAGGATGAGAGCAAACAATTTTGCCAAAGAAAATTAATTGCTAATTACAAAACCAAACTAACTAGGAAAGTCTCATTAGTCAAAGTTAGCATTCCGCATCATCTTATGATTGTTTCAAGTAGAAAAAACTAATTGTTAAATCAAGATGAAGAATAAATATATTGAGTGAACAACAGTGTAGAAAAGATTACAATATGGAGCAGCACAAAATATGCAAGTATAAAACAATTTTTACTTGTCATAAGAAATTGTATATTGTGGGCTCTGAAAATTCGTGCCCCAACCTCTCTGCGGACAACTTCTTTCTTTTCTTTTCAAGTCGTCATGGAGAGTTTTAACATTTGAATATGTTCCGAGGCAAATTTTCATAAGTCAGATTGGATTTTAAATAAGACACTACCCAGAGATTTCGCCCTCATTTTGTGAGGACTTTATGATCTGGTTTCTGGTTTCCTATAGGTGCAAGCCCCTATAGTTAATTACCCCTCCCGATAACAAGAGAGAACTTTCGATCAAGACTAGTCGTCAAGCACATACGTGATATCTAGCATATAATAGTAGCATGGTTTAGGTATTTAAAATTTTGATATTTAAAATTAGAAATTTCACCATTTTGCACTTAAAGAGGAAGGTGGGGGGATGATGACGATGAACCCGATCAAGATCCTATGGTTTCCTCATCCCGAACCATCATGGCCCCTGGTATACTTAGTCAGAGGAGGTAGTCGACCTAACCTAACCGAAAGATCCTTGTCGACAGCCATGAGTTGCTTCATCCAAGGATACCTTGTAGACCTAGGGTGAGTATTTGTCTAAGGGGACAAATCTAAATGCACTTTAGCTAAAAGAAGATTTTGTGCCCTATCGATCATATCCTACTAATTCATTGCTCAATGATTTGATGTCATTGGGGAGCATACGGGCTTTGACCATGACCATAATATAATGATGTCATTTGGAGGCAAAACCAACTGTTCAGAGAGTTCTAGTCATAATTGTTTACTTATGCTGTCATTTAACGGTGAAACCACTAATGTGGTTCCAATTGACGGCAAAACCACCAAGTAGAGGACACATTCCACGTCCTTACTCGCAAGAGGCAAATTGAGAATGAATACTAATGATATACTCACGATCAAACATTAGCTCTTTATAAGCTGAAGTAATTTTTAATTTGTTTACCCAGGCAAACTGTTGCAGATGTGGATGAATATTTTGCTTCAAGTATTTGATGATTCATTTTATTTTAAATATATTGATTTTTTATGTGATTTTTAGAATTTTGGATTTTCATGGGCTTTTTGGAGGTATTTTTTTAAATGTTTGTGGTCTCCTCTAATTAAGATTTTTCGTTAACACGGCCATCATCAGGGTTTTTATGGGTATTTAGGAGGTATTTTTTAATTTTTATGGTCCACTTTGGTTGAGATAAACATTCAACATATAAATCATCGGGGCTTTCATAGGTTATTTCATTTTTTGTTGATTGAATCTTGTCAACTATATCCACTTGCTGGCATAGGATCGGGTTCGAATTTAAATTTTATTTCTTAACTCGCACAGCATCCTCAGACGTCATGTGTACCTACAACACGTTTGTCGGGACCCATGTAGGTATATGTTATATGTATTTTGCATGATGCATTTATATGATCGTCGTACGTATACAGTGGATGTATATGATGCATTTGCATATATCACGTACATCGACTCATGTATTTTGCATTTGCACGCTATGTTTGCAGCATGAGGTATTTTTGCATGCAGATAGAATATTGTCTGATATCACTTGAATGAAATCCTCTGCACTACAAAGGCATGCATATTATGGTATACATATGAATGCATATTTTAATGCATGAGAGGGGGGGTTGCATTTTTAGACGCAACTAGTTATGCAGTTAACTATTGCTATCAGGTATGCAGGACTTTATTTTAGGTTTTATTGACGTCTTTTGTCCGCATGTACGAATGTCGCGGATTTGGTGGCGTGACGCATTGACATAGCAATGCAAGCACTGGGGTATTTAAAATATTTGGACTAATCAATTGTGTGGGCACCTATCGTTCGAATGTGCGCAACATTCTTATTTATAAGCTTGTAGACACCTTCTGTCTGCTTGTACAAGTGTTGCAGATCCGATAGCGTGGCGTTACGCTTCAGTGGTCCACGCTTTCTATTACTATTGATTCTCTACTTTTGCTTACTACATCAAACCGACGGTTCGATCACTGAATCAGAGCCGATTTTCAAAACTGGTCGATTTCTTTGTTATCTTATTTACATAATTAAATAAATAAATTTAATATAAAACTTTCAACTTATTAAATTAATGTAAATACAGTAAATTTAATTTTAAAAAGAGCATTAAAATTTTAAAA